GGCCATGGGAAGCCTTCAGCTCGTTCAGAGCCTCCCCGGCAGCAGCAAGGTTTCGGTCCGCCTCGGCGACCTGGTGCCTAAGGGAGCTCAGCTCGTGCTGAGCATGATCCCTGTCGGCCTCAGCCTTCTTTGCCCGCTGTTCAACCTGGGCGGCCTCATCCTTTGACGCCTGAATCCCGCTTTCCTTTTCAGCCAGTGCTCGATCCAGCTCCTCCCTGAGCTCGTTATTCCTGCTAGCGAGCTCGTCTGCTAGGCTCTCTGCGGCAGCAGCTCGGTTCGCCATTTCAGAACCTTGCAGACGATTCACATCGTCCACAAGGCTAGCCTTCTCAATGGCCAGCTCTTTACACTTGGCACCGAGCTCGGTGTTCTCTGTACGAGCCGCCTGCTCGCTCTCGTACAGTGCCACCGCGTAATTGAACGCCTGTCAAGCAGTTGTCACTGTCAATCTCTAAAAAGAAAAAGAAAAAAACATTTATGGAAGTGTGAGTGAATGCTTACATCCATCAACTTGATCATGGCGACCTGGCCGCCATGCTGCTGCACACACGCTTTTGCCCGCCGATTATCTGTCGGGGGCACAAAATTGTGCATGGCCTGCACCATGGCGACCTGGCACTCCGCCCGTGTGTAGCTGAAACCCTCAGGATAAGCAATCCTGGGGCCCGAGGATGAAGACGGCGCCGAGGCGGGCTCCGCTGCTGCCCGCACGGTCGTTGACGGTGCGTTTGGAGAACGCACGGTCACAGGGCGAGCCGCCTGTGCGGGCTGAGTCTCCCCGCTCCTTATGCGCCTAGTAAGAGGAACCTCATCCTCTTCGCTCTCCGTCTCCTCGCGTGCACGTCTGCGCGCGCCCGGAGCTGCAACCTCAGCCCTGTGATCCGCTCGCGGCCTTGTCGACGAGCTGGATCCCCTGTGTGACGAGCCACGTGACTGAGACGCTAGGGGTGGCCGCTCGTCAAATCGCGTCTGCCTGGGTTGCCCGCTGCTACCCCCGCGACCTCGTGAGGCTTGGGCACGTTGTCGTTGGCGCTCTAGGATGCTGCTCATTTCTCCTGCACAAAAAAATGCATAAGCCTCAGCTCGGCTAGAATCTAAGTTACATGATAAAAATATACCTTCGCTGAACAGGTTTGTCACATCGATAAACCCGAACAGGGCGAGCTGCTCCGAGGTAACCAGGGCTTCTAGATCTATCAGACCCTCCCCCTGCGCATACTGAAGCAGCTGGTTCTTCATATCGACATCCCGGGGCAGTAGCTGGGGGTAGTTGATGTGGGCGTTTGGTGTGCACCACTCAGACAGCCGGGCAGCGAGGTCGTTGCTTATCCTTTCTGCTCGCGTGTCGCGAACAAAAATAAACTGCTTCTTCCACCTCGCCACCTTGTTCCTCACATTTTTGAAGAGCTGGCTCTTGTCCCTCCCAGAGAGGTAGTACCACCTCGCTCCTTGTGAGTTCGGACATAGCCGGCACTGGAATAGCGATCTGAACACTATCGCTTTGGCTGGTACCTCTAGTCGCGCACACAACAGCATAAAGCCAATAATGAACCTTATGCTGTTGGGCGTTAGTTGCGTCAACGCCAGCTCGTATTCTGCGAGCAGATCGAATATCAAGCCGGGCAGAGGAAACCG